AAATATCCTTTATTTTTTAATGTTTACCCATTTAATTCTAAAATTGAACACTAGAGAGGGCTAACTTCGGCAGTAGTGCTGCCTCTATATTTCACGCACGGTCCCTATTATTTAAAAATTTTTAAATAAGTGACAAATCTGTCAAACTAATTGTCAATATATATTTTAGTTATTAATATTAAATATACATTAAAATGAGTTATTTCTCTGTAGACTCGATAATTAATAGCATTTTTGTTTTTATTGGGTCCTCAATTAAAAAAAAAATAAATTTTAATCAATCTACATGATACTAATTTAATTACAAGTATTAAAACTAAAATCCTAAAATTGTCGGTGAAGATGAGGACAGAGCATCTGCCTTCCACGCGAAAAGCCCGGGATCGAATCTAGGCCGAGGACTAATTAAATTAAATCTTTTTTTTTTTCATGTTTATTTTATTTTATAAATTTGTAAATTATTTTAAAATTAGTTATTTTATCTAAATAACCTAAAATAATTTTTTAAATTTGTAGATTTTCGTTAATGCGTCGTAGAAAAAATTACTGTATAAGTCGAGTGGATTGTCCATATCACAATCAGACGATTGAGTAATCCGCCTACGGCGTGTGATATGACTATCATATCCACTCTTGTTAAACAAACTACTATTTATTTGTTTTCTTGGTTTAAGTGTTACATCAGAAATAGGAACTAAATTAATTTAAATTCCAAATATTATCCATATCTCAAAGTGGTCCGAAGTAGATTAAAGGGAAGTAAAAAGCTCAAAGTCTGTCGACCACATATATTTATTAGGTTGCAAGCGCTTTCGACCTAAAAGGTCATCATCAGGCAAAAAAAATTTTGTGAGTAGGTACAATCTGCAATAATAATTTAAGGTATAACAAAACGTTTTTTTATAGAAATGCTAGGTGTCTTACCACTATGTGTCCACAGAAAAATAAGTATGTTGAATTAAAATGTAAAATTTAAGTAAATTGTTAAAAATTGCACATACTGCCTCCCTCATTCGAGGTTGGATCCAGTTCTAGTTTTGAATTTCGCCTGCCTCCATCTGATGAAGGTGGTTTCGAATAAGATAAATTTTGAAGTTCCACATCTGTGCTTAAGGCACCATACGGAAAGGGTTACTTTTTGGAAAGGTGAAATACAGCTACTCCCCCTAGGGAAAGTATGTGTGCATTTATCGAACACAGCGCTAATTACTACATCTACAGGTTGATTTTTAGTCTCAAAAGTCAAATTTAAAAAGTATAAACTTCTAACCGGTCATTGTCATTTGATCACGTGACCAATAAAGTCTAGATAAGCCACACACTTTGATTTTCTTTTACTATACGGAGAATGGTCGCACTGCGCAGCTTTCTGAGTGCCTTTTAAAAGAAGATAGAAAACTCCGCCATTTTGAACCCTTATTACGTGTTGCCTACATCTTGGCGCAATATTTTTAATAGGTGCGTTTTAAACATCCGCTTCTGCTTCGGAATTGTCGTTTTTCTTGTTTTAATCTGAGAGATTAGAACGACTGAACCGACAATTCCGGAAGCAGAAGCGGATGATTAAAACGCACCTGATATTTTGCTTGCTGCTGTCAGTGTCAGTGAATATTATTTTTGGAATCGCAGTTTATTGCTAAAGAATCAGTTAGCTCACTCGGACCAGTTGAAAGTTCCAAAATAACATCCACTCCAGGGATACAAATTCAGGATACGCAGAAGACTGCTGTTTTATTATAGGCGGTTGTCATATATTGTATTATCTGAGTTGCGCAGTGTATAAACTGGAACATTGAGATAAAAAGTGCCGAAGCAGAGTGAGCGATCTGATTCTTTAGCTATAAACTGTGTCATAGGGTTCAAAATGGCCGCGCCCTATGTTGGGCGTGTTGGACCTCTCTTGCCCCGTATAGTAATCAAAGTATGTGAGATAAGCGTTTGTTTATTAGATCTACATTTAAGTCCAAGTTCAATGCGTTGTCAATGACAAGTGACGGCGACTTCTTTATCACAAAAAATACAGCTCTGAACGATATTTTCAGAAATTGTTTCTAAAAATCGGTTCGGAGTATGGCAAAGAATGGTGGAAAATCTATAGTTTGTTTTACTTTTAATGCATAATATTTTAATAAATGATTTAACAAATATTTAAAAGTTATATGGACTGTCCACCCTTTTTTTTTTTTAGAATTTAAAAGCTGAAACGCAAAATACATTCTTTTATTTTTGCCTAATTATTTCAAAAAACGTGTTAAGATTTAAAAATGTACTATCCAGAAGATGCTGCCATCTGAACAGTCGGAATAGATACTGAAGTGAAAAATTGCAACATCGCTCCTTATGTATAGAACACAAAACACAACCCAAATATGTTTGTTTTGAAAGTTTGACGTTTGTGGTTTGACTTGTCATTTCAATTTTATGCACTTTAGTTATTTAAAAGATATGTTAGGGAGGTGGGTGGCTCAGTGGTAGAGTCTCTGCCTGTGGATCCAAGGGTCCCAGGTTCGAATCCCACCGTTGGCCGGGATTTTTTTTATTTAATTTAATTATTTAAAATTAATTCTGATGCCTTGGTAGGATTCCCCACTCGACCATTCACTGTTGGGTTCTAATTAACAGTGCTGTTCCTAAAAGTGGCGCAAGGAAACAGTAACAAGGCCTGTCTGTAGGGGTGTAGGAGTATTAGAGTACTAATACTCCTGCACTATGGAGTATTAGACTACTAATACAATCCATAACCTACATAGAACACTAGGCTAATGACCTTAGATGTTGAAGCCGTACACCAAATAAAAAAAAAAAAAAAAAAAAAAAAATATGTTATTTATATATATTTTCCAATTATTGCAGATCCAGAATAGGTATGTTTTCTGTTTTTATTTTATTTTTATTTGACTATTTTGCTAATATCACAATATTCAAATTTAGTAAAAAGTAATCTAATAATATAATAATTATAATCAAATTCTAAATAAGAAATGTAATTTAACTGCAATTGTTTTGATAATAGTATTGGCATATGGTCTGTGAATTTCATCAGTTTCCGAATAATTACCCTTAAATATTTGAATTTTTCTACTAACTGTATAGAATTTCCTATATTGTTTATTCACAAACTGCATATATTTATTACTTATCATCATATATTTCGTTTCATTTGTGTTGATTTTTAACAAATGATTGCAACACCATTTAAGTATAAACATTTTGCAGAGTTGCATTAACAACTCTTACCAAGTTATCTGAATCCTTACAACTTACAAGAAACATAAATAAGGACATCATCAGCAAACAGGTAAATGTCATATTGACCCTTTTGCGACGTCAACTATAATTCATATTAATTTAAAATAACAGGAGACCTAATTTTTTTCCTGTGTAAGACTTTTGATGTGGTTAATTTCTTCTGAACTTATATGAAAACAATTACAGTTCATCAAATTTCTAGAGGCTTTCGACGGCTAGAAAGAGAAAGCACTACTGACAGGCATCCCGACGGATTTACGCAATGAAAGTACACTCTGCGCATCAAGTATTTCACTATTTCATTCAGACGTAAATGTCAGATGTAAATTTCGCTAAAACATTTCTTTTATTTTCGTTTGTGTTTTTTGCTCATTACAGTTTAATAGAACCTAAGTATGGAGTTTAATAGCAAATTAAGAGGCCGCGTGATTAACAGTCAATCTCGCGAAAAAATAGCCAATGTTATAGAGTTTATGAGAAGAGAAGGAAACTTTAATTCACCTTCAATACCATTTAAAAATGTAAATGATCGTGTTGCTGCAGCCACAGGAGTATCTAAAAACACTGTCGTCCGCATTTCTGGAGAGAAAAAAAAATCGATAACCGTGAGATATCGGAATTTTCATCACCAAGAAAAACCATTAAAAAACCAAAAACAGTTAATGATATAGATGAAGCTTCACAAGAATCAAATTTTATTTTTTTATTATTAGATAGCTATTTTTGTTTCTGAGTTGTGTTCATTTACAGGCTCAATTTTTTTCCGTTTCTCCTTTTTGATTTTATATGGGGTTTCAAGTTGTTTTTGACTTATTTCGACGTAAATCACAACAACACACTTTTTTAATAAAGCAAACAAGTGTTAAGAGGTATATGTACGTGTAAACTACAATTACAAAAAATTGATATGAAACCACCAACAAAAATGTAAAGCTAGCTTCCGTACTAGAACATGGTGTCATTCGTCGAGATAATTTATCGTTTTGTTTGATAGATCAAGAAATGTAAATATTCCCCTGTTATTTTTTATAAAATTATAAGAGAAATAAATTTTTTTCTAAATAGTAGTTTATTATTTTGTAGAAAAACTAAATTTCGAAAATTTTAGTAATGTTTCAGAAACAACCGTTATTAATAATAGGTACCACTTTCCTTAATAAGGTAGAAATAAAATATAAACTATTTCCACGATTTACAAAGGCCTATAAAAAAATTATAGGTATTTTCCGCTATCTTATAAAATTTATATTTTCTGACTCAATTTCAAAAGGTTGAAGGAATTCCAAAACACCTTTTATGGCATAATAATTATTTTCAATTCTACATACTATCTTTAGCTGCTTTTAAAAACGTTCTAAGAAAGTCCAATCAGACCAATTTAATCCCTAAACTATTCCACACTTTTAAAATTTAATTACCTAAAAATATTAAAAACTATTTAAAATAACTTGTTTAGCAGACTGTACAATAGCTATCTTAGTCACACGTAGCGCGTTCTCTGTCTGGGCGTCGAACACCTCTAGAAATTTGATGAACAGTATATTTTTTGAAATTTTTTTTATATTTTTTACTTAAAAAATATTTAAAATTATTTTAAATGAACTATTCGATGGAAAATCGCATTCTCTACAAAAAACTTCCTAATAACTATACCTTTTTCGAGATATACTTAATTAGAAAACTGTTAGGGTTGCATTTTCACCCCGCATAAGGAAATATTTTTGGTAATAAATTCACGTTGTTGACAAACACTTGTATATTTCTTATTGCAAATACCTAATCTACAAATAAATAATTCTTAAAAATACAAAATCACAAACATTTGAACAAAAAAGGAATGACTCTGGAATGTGTAAAAGTAAAAATATCACATGTTTTAATTACTATTTATCTTCACTTTCATCTTCAACTTTTATCCCGCTATCGTTTTTATCTAAACTATCCCCCAACATGTACTTTTTAATGCCCTCTTCAAGAACGTTCCTCAAAATTTTACTGTCTTTGAGAATGTCCACCCCGCTATCCACGAATTTACGTTTTAAGCCGTTTTTGTTGACTTTTTCTTCGTTGCCGATCTGACTTTCTTCTTCATTGTTGTTCGGAAACGATAATTTTTGAACCAACCCTCCGAAAATTGGAAGTAAGGTAAGTAATTGAGCTCCGACTAGCTTGTGAAACGATAATTTTTGTTTATCTATCTCCAAACGCTCTTTCTGGACTTCTAGGTTTTGTTTTTGGACTTCGATGAGGCTTTTTAGGAGAACAGCCACGTCTGAAACAAACAATGTATTATTTGAAATGAAAATTTTCGATTATTAATTGTAGGTATTTTTCTTAGACAAAAGGTATGGAGTGTACAACTAAGGAAGACACTCATATTAGTTGTTTTTTGGCTATACCTAGTGAGTTTCCTAACTTTTGAACATTCTGATTCAAAACATGTTTAAATGGCAACTTTGCTACAAATCTACCGTCCATTCTATCTTCAGATATTTCTTCTGATTCCCAAATTTTTGATTGCAAACCCTTTTAGATGACATGTTTGGCAAATTTAAACAACCTGTAAAAATCCAACCACACAGTTTTCTTTAACATAGGCATATTTTTTCTGAGGTAAAAAACATCGGCCCCTAGCAATAATTTTACTACCTTTGGTACATGTTACAGTTTATCTGCCAGAGGTACAGAGGTACTTTTCGGTTATAGTTGCTAATATTAAAAATGGAAGAATAACTTGGAACCCATTTAGACAAGATTTAATGCTAGCAGAAGTTGTAAACATTGATACTTTTAATTAATATCAGTTATTGGAATTTCGTATCTAGTTTTAGGTAAATTCAAAATGCCCCACAATTCTTCAGTTACAAAATGTGACTCACTGCATCCAATAAAACTGTAACCTCGATCCACTCATCCAAACTATTGCTTATTAACATTGTAGCTGTAGATAAGAAAATGTATTTTAAAGTCGAATACTTATTGTAATCCCTGGTCTAAATAATAGATAATGATTATGTAGAGTAAATGTGATAAGTTGACAACAGAGCTGCCACTTACCATCCTGTTTACCTCCAGTTCCCTCGCCGTTTTTCAGTTGATTCGGTAGGGAATTCTGATTGGGCAAACCATTTAATATAAGCAACGGGAACGGCAAAGATGGCGTCCCACCGACTGTGTTTGGCTTTAGTGTTGTTCCTAAAATAAAAAAATAATGAAGTGTATCTACTCCCTGAAGAATATTAAAGAATTATGGACGCATATTTAAATAAAAGTAACTTTTACTAAAAGATCCTGTAATAAAGGATTCTGGTATAAAAGATGCTGTAATAATAAAAGATCTTGTAATAAAGGATTCTGGAATAAAAGATGTAGTAATATTAAAAGATATTGTAATAAAGGATTCTGGAATTAAAGATACTGTAATAAAAAGATCTTATAATAAAAGATCTTATAATAAAAGATCCTGTAATAAAACTTCAAGTAAAAAAACTATCTACTCCATGAAGGGTATTAGAGAGTTACGGAAGCATTCAAATAGAAGTAACTTTAACTAAATATCCTGTTATAATGGGTCCTGTAATAAAAGATCTTGTAATAAAGGATTCTGGAATGAAAGATGCTGTAATAATAAAAGATCTTTTAAAAAAGGATTCTGGAATAAAAGATGCAGTAATATTAAAAGATTTTGTAATAAAGGATTCTGGAATAAAAGAATCTGGAATTAAAGATGCTGTAATAAAAAGATCTTATAATAAAAGATCCTGTAATAAGAGATCATGTAAAAAACTATATCTACTCTATGAAGGATATTACAGAGTTATGGAAGCATTCAAATAGAAGTAACTTTTACTAAAAGATTCTGTTATAATGGGTCCTGTAATAAAATATCTTTTAATAGGGGATTCTGGAATAAAAGATTATGGAATAAAAGATGCTGTAATAATAAAAGATCTTGTAATAAAGGATAATGGAATAAAATATGCCGTAATATTGAAAGATCTTGTAATAAAGGGTTCCGGAATTAAAGATGCTGTAATAAAAAGATTTTATAATAAAATATCCTGTAATAAGAGATCATGTAATAAAAGATCATCTAATAATTGATTATGTAATAAAAGATCATATAATAACAGATTCTGTATTAATAGATCATGTAATGAAATATCCTATAATAAAATATCTCGTGATAATAGATCATGTAATAAAAGATTGTGTAATAAAAAGATCATGTACTAAAAGATCCTGTAATAAAAGATACTGGAATAAAATATTCTGTAATAAGAAATCCTGCAATTAAAGTTCATGTAAGTGGTTTTAAACTCAAACTATCGAAAGCAATCTAGGTACTGTTTAAACTTCATTATGGCATTCCCTTTAATTAGACAGTTATTCATTATTATAAAATTATGCCTTGTAAAAAACAAATAACATACAGATAAGAGGCAAAAGATATAAATGTAAAAATCAAAATATTAGGTCATGAATTATTCAGGTATTGTCAGACAATAAATTTGTTTAAAGAAAAACTATCAGAAAACGAAATTTTAATAAAACCCACTTCTTTATTTATATAAAATAAGGAAAGCTACCTAGTATTTTTTTAGGGACTAAAATATTCAGTGAATGCGCATGCGTATATTTCAAAATAAGAATAAGTACACAAGATTCGATAACTATCTAATGAGAATTTGTAGTACCTATCGGAAAATTCAAAAAAAAACTCTCATTTTACTCATGGGAACATTAAAAAAAAAACGCAGGACGGCACTTATTATTACAATTATTCTTACCTAATGGTATTTGAATATTTCCTGCGGTCGAGGTTATTTTGGGTTGACTTAAAACCGGTTTCGGGGCGATCTTTATAGGCTCCCCTTCGTCCTTTTGTTTATCATGTGATTGACTTTGAGGCGCTGGCGTCAAGTTGGGCATGTGATGTGATTCGTCTTCAAATTCTGCATCTTCTGAACTAAAAATTATAAATAATTAATTACTAATTTTATAGTTTTACATATTCATATAAAATTATTAATTTATATTTCTAAAACAAAAAATTAGCAAATTCCGTTCTGATATATCTCATAAAAACAGAAATACGGCACTGGTGAGTCTAGCTTAAATATCAATAGCCAATGTTTCTCAGTAATGGCAGGAGCAAAACAAATTAAATTTTGGTAAATAAATAGCAAAAAATTAGACCAAAAATTAACCAAAAAATACAGCATAAGTCGGTATGATATTAAATTTTGGATTTTTATCTTACAAAAGGTTTTTTTGGATAGTAATAAGCAATATGGTATTATGTTTTATATAATATACAAATAATTTTACATGAGAGCTAGTTTTTTACACGAGAGAAATATATAGTATAATATTTATCAACAAGGGGAGACAGTTGAACTTTTCTCACTCCAATAATGTACTTATGTTTAGTTATAGAGCAATCTTTATTCCTCGAATCGGTGTTAATTAAATGAATGGACTATAGTGTTTTTTTTGGTACATTTTGCTTTAACATTTATATATTTTAACCACCCTGTACCTACATGTTTTCTCAAGTTTTAGTAGTTTAATATTACTTTGACTGGAGGCAAATCTGATAACACTAAAAAGTTTCCCATTTATAGATAATTTATATGTTTCCTTTGGTTGTTTTAGTCTTATAATAAAGTATGTGTGTACACAATATGGTTATTTTTATGGTTAAATTTAAAATTCCCAACCTATACAACGACTTTGAATATAGCACTGTCAAAAATGTCAATTCAATGAAAGTAAATTTCGCTAATTTTTATTATAAACATTTCAGAATCAAAAAATCTACTTACTCATTTTTAGATAATATCATCATTTTTCTCAAAAATCCTTTTTTCACTACCTTTTTCGTTCAAATTTAGCAATCTTTCAATTCAAATTAAATCACGATTTAATACATTTTAAATCTCACAAATATTACGTAAATAACGTTACTGCCAATGTATCCATGGTTTGGAAAAAACATGGAGATTTGAACCAGGTAATAGGGTAAAAAAATTCATACACTTCTGATGTTATTGCAAAATGTTTGTCTCAAGATGATGATACCGTTTTATAATTTAGAAATTAAAAGAATCTTGTTAAAAGATATTTTAAACTATGATGATACTTTAATGGGGCTTAATATGGGATATTATTTTAAATTACTTGTATCTGTAGATGAGTGCAATGAGGGCCAATGTCAGAATTTATACTTTTTTGGATTAAGTTAATGAATTAGTTTTTACTTACTGTAAATTACGTTTAATGCTCTATCATGGATACAAAAATGACCAAATTCTAATTTTTAAACTAAACCAGTAGTTTGAGATTAGTTCCTTCTTGAACTAATCCAAATATATAACATTCTTACTCACAGAACACACACTAGTAAGTAATAATAATATACTCACCCAACTAGACTATTTGTACTATATGAAGATTCCATATCATCATTGATGTCGAGTTCTTCATCAATGATTTCTTGTTTAATATCCTCGCATCGGGGCCCTTCGAAGATGTTACCATCCTTGTAAATATCCTGCGGCCTATTTGGGTTCTTTTTACTCAAAATGTCGTCCATAGCTTTGTAATGGGGCCAGTCTGGATCGACGGTTCCTCTACCAACACCGGTTTGCATGGACCTCTTTATCCTGTGGTACAAGCATTTGAGGTTCCTCAGTCTGGTCTTGATCTCATCCGGGGTTCTGTAAAATCCACGGTGTTGCATATTGGCGGCCAACAGCCTCATTACGGGGGCTTTACGATGAGTGAGGTATAATTTGTTTTGGATTTGGGGACTACCCCATAGTTGTATTAACAATTTTGTCTCGTCCTCCCGAAAATTTGTGGTTCTTTTCTTTTGTAAGACGCGTAACGGTTGTGAATCCATTCGGTCTGAGAAATAACCAATGATTTGACTAAGTAAGGTTGATTTTTAATGGTTTTTCTTTGTTTTTTTTTTTGAATTTAATATTTGAGGGGCGTTATTGATTAAACAAGTAAAGCGGTTTTGTTTCTCTGACGTAACGTACTTATCGTAAGCGTGTTTTTTCGATGCTTCAAATTTTGATTAACTGTTTTTTAACTTCAAAATTCGAAATTTTTCTTCATGTAAAAACGTTTTAATTCCGAAATATACTTAAGTAGGTATTTTATTAATTACACAAAATGAGTCAAGAATAATGGTTCGAAAAATTTCATTTTTTTTTTTATTAGAAATATATAGTGTGAATATAGGTTGACGTAAAAAGTCTGCAGCATATTGAAAAGGTTTTTAATAAAATTCAATTTCTTTATTGATTTACAACCAGATGCGTGAGATTAAAGAATTCCTAATACAAAAATAAGTACACAATCATATAAAATTTAATAGAAGAACCAAATACAAAATAAATCAAGACCAAGATCATAAAACTCCTCTACTAGAGTATATATAAGCATTTATGTCCATTACTGTAGAACTCGTATTCCCAAGTAACATACTTTGGAGGGGACAACATTATTTTATAGAAACATTCAGTTGAACACTTTAAAACCAATTATTCTCATTACTTCTGAGACATACCTCGTATATAATCACACGCGAAAATGTTCTTGGCTTGTTTGCAACCTTTTTAGGCTAGAAAAACGTAGCAGATACTAAAAATAGTGGAACATCCCCAAATTGTTATTCCAAACAGTAGTTTTGAACACGGTAAGTATTTTTAATCTCAATAGTTTACAGAAGTGAAAATGATTTACTAAATTTAATTTTTAAAAACAAAAATGTGCCTATAAAAATAGTTTTGAATTGTGCGGAGAAAAATGAGAAAATACAAGATGCAAACAATGATTCAGGAAAATTAAGCTAAGTCCGTGGAAACAAGGGAACAAAATCAGGCTTTGTTCAATCAGAAACAAGTTGAACCCAAAAAGAACAAATATTGTTTAATGCATGGACCTGTGAATAATTAAATTATAGTTAATCAGATGCAAATACAAATCGAAGCGATTCAACAAACAATTTATAACTCACAAGGTAACTAACAAAAAAGGACGAAGAAGAAATAGCCACAGAATACTACACAAATGAAGAAGAACTGAGCCATGAGCCAGAGTGGATCAGAGTGAGAAACACCAAGAAAATAAAATAATAAGGTTAATAACAGACCACAAATTAAAATCATTAACAAACCAAAAAAATATAACGTATTGTCAGATTAGTTAATACAAAACATATTACAATAAGTATAAGGGTTAAGAAAAAGTCCTTTATTTCTCACACGTCAATTTTAATTGGCGACCGGTTTCGAAGCTATTGCTTCATCATCAGGCACACCTAAATGGAATGTCAAGGAGTCAGTAGTAATAAAAACAATTATAAAAGTATGAACGGACATGATTCAGCAGATGAAAATCTATTCCAGACAGATGAAGATGAGGGTTTCGTCCACTAACTTTTTCCGGAGAAGTTTTCGCCACTTATAAATTTATAGTGAGCCAAAGTGCCAAAATTAATATTATTTAAGTTTTCTTTTTAATGTTACAGAACATTTTTAAGGTTTTTTAGTTTTGTTAATGTTATTTTCCTATTTGAAACAAATAATTTTTTTATTATTTTATGTATTGAAATTAATTTATAGAAATTATCATTTAATTAAATATACAGAGCGAATCACAATGAACGATTCTATTTTTTTAAACCAAACTTATAAAACGTGGCATGCGGCATTTCAATTCGTAACCCGCTGTAGTTGAATATTTTTGGAAATTTGATATCGTCTGGTTACTGCCAAAACAAGATAAGTACTTGTAATTGTATTAAACGCGGTATACGTTTATATGCATATGCACATAAAAGACAAGAATCATATTGGCAACTAAAACAAAACAAGTACATTTATGTTAGGTTTCAAAATTATTTTCTATAAAGAAATAAACGTTTTTGGTAAAGGTCGTCCTCTAAAGGCAAATGATATTAAAATCACCAAAGTGTACAAAAGCCCATTTCGGTTAATAAAACACAAGACCTACTGAAATTGTGCAAAAAAGATGTTATCCCTGAAGAATATCATCATTACAAATCCTTGCCTACTTCTAAAGAGGTAAAAGATTTAGTTCCAGAGCCAGCAGCTGAAGATTCAGAGCAGGAAAAATGAAACAAAAACAGGTACTTATATATCCAAAAGAAAATAAGTGCACAAAAAAGTGTTTTTTCTGCTAAATACTTTGGTAGTTTTTAAGTTTTATAATAAATTTTTCCACTGTTTTTATCCAATTGTATTAAAATTCAGTTCCTAAGTACCTAAGTTTTTCTTTCATACCTGATTTTCCTTAAATATTAATAACTAAAAATGTAACTTATCTTGTTTTAGCAGTAACCCGACGATATTTAAAAGCATTTTTTTTACAAAAATAATAAAAAAAAGCATTCATTAGAAATATCAGAAGGTTTTTATAATAAGAAATATATCTGTACTTATACCTATAATAAAATAACTACCGTTATTTTCTTTTATTAAACTTGTTATCAGCACCAACTGTCTCACATATTGTTTCTGTGATCCTTTATATGAAATTCAATTGTTCGCAATGCAAACGGTGTTTTTACTACCTGAGAGACTTTCACCCCTCATTTTTCTAAAGGTAAGTAGGTAGGTACTCAGTAAAATAGGGGTGGGCATCGGTAACTTTGGTACCTAAGCGAATTGCCTTAAAACCGAAATTTTAATACACACAGGGTTCTTATTTATTAATGTTTTTTTTGTGGCTATTTGAAGTGAACTTTGTCTTATGTAAAAAGATGGTTGTAACTTCCAAATTGGGATTTTCACAGACAAATACTGAGAGTGTAAAAAGGTAATTCCAGTGGCGTTTTGTTTTTATTCCACTAAAAATAGTAGGGAGTTGTTCAGCTCCTCTTAAATGCCATAAATATTTAAAATAAAAAAATTAATGCGACTCCTGCCTATCTATTGTACATTGTATATTAAAATCCTATATAAAATTTCATAAATTATATCGATTTAGAGCAACTTGAAAAAACATTTAAATTTTTTATTCAATGTGCACTTTTATATATAGGAATAATTCAATTAAACTATTTTTGACCCGAGAATATGTAGTATAATTAATGACCAATCTTTTCGGGACACCCTGTCTATACCGAGCTGAGTTTTTTGATCTGACGCGTGCTTTTGACATAGTTTTTTTTTTATCTCAGTCAAAATCAAGGATTAATTGATTCAATCATATGACATGAATACGGGAGTCCCTCAAGGGTCTGTTATGCGACCACTTATTTTTTTTTATTCATAAATGATGTACCGGAGAATATAAGGAATCTTAATACTGTCTGACAATTTATCTTGAAATTGTATTTAGTTTTGATTTTTGATTTTACGAAAATTATGCAGCGTTGAAGTAATTAATTAAATGTCTATTAAATCAACAATACTTTTTGTCAAATTCGGTAAAGTAAAAAAAAGTTTTGATTGAAAATCAATTAAGCTACTCTGCGTCCCATTATTTTTGACTCGCTCTGTATATTAGTTCAACATTGTTAGTTTGAATTTTAAGCATATCCAAATTGAACACTTTCACGTGTAAAACCATTTCAAGTTGGTTTTTGAAAATTTTATTGGATTGTATGAAAGTAAGGTACTTTACTAACAATTGCACGACAATTGTTTCTAAGTACCTACAACTTCTTCAAATGTGACTCATTTACATTTCTAATATATATACAAAATAAACTAATTAGTTAAAATAGGTATTTAAGAGAAATATATTAATAAAATTCCAATAAGATATCATTACCGGGATTATCTCACAGAAAACTAAGAACAGGTAAAGTGATTTAATTAAGCTCAATTGCGTGTCCTTGGTTCTTTAGATTTGGCGTTTTCTGTAACGTACTTTGCTAATATTTTTGATTTCTGATAGGTTCGAAAAAAAGTTTTACAAATTAAATCGTGTTATCAGTTATCACAATTAGAAATATACCGGGTTCATGATTACTCCAAAAATAACGCAAAGATATATTTATTAAAGAGTACCCTGTATACTTTTATCCATTACTTCGAATTAAATTTAAAATACATCCATTATGGCATCATATCGATAAAATTTTATTTCGAAAGTTATAATTTTTTGAAAAAGGTAAATCATAAAAGCATTTTTTTACAAAAATAATCAACATGAACAAAGCTTGATAATTTTATTTAATTAGATACTCAAAGTGTCTTCCTTGTTTTCTATTTGACAATATCTAAGTGTCATTACGTCAATAATTTAGAGTAATGATGCACCCGGTAGATTTATAATTGACTTATACGGATAATTTGAAATATTTCAAAAAGCTTTTACCCAAAAATTTTGTAAATCTATCAAAAATCAAAATATTAGCAGGTTACATTAGTTTTTATACACACTGTATAGGTTTTTGATAAAATAATAAAATCCTGATCAACTTGAATTTATTAGAAAAATGAAACTCTATAAGGGGACAAAGATTATTGATTTTGAAAAATCTTGATTAAACATAGGAGGTCAATAAAAATGGGGGGGGGGGGGGGGGGTTTAAGAAGGTTAAAATTATAAAAAAATTATAAATCAAAAATGAAAAACGATATCAACATGAAATTTTCAGTAAAAATCTAGCTTTATAAGGGGATTAAGCCTATTGATTCTAAAACAAATCTGAATAAATTTGGGGGATAAGGGGGGTTGAAATGTTGAAAAATATCCTAACTCAGAAACGGAAAACGATATCAAATTAAAAACTTCAGGAAAAATCAAGTTTTATAAGAGGATGAAGCATATTGATTCTGAAAAAAAATCTGATTAAAAATGGGGAGTAAAAGGGGGTTGAAATATTAAAAAACGAAATATGATATCAACTTGAAATTTTTAGCAAAAAATAAGCTCTATAAGAGAACTAAGTCTATTAATTTTGAGAAAAAATTGATTAAAAATGGGGAGATTAAGCTGGGTTGCAATTAAATTAAAAAAAAATCATAAATCAAAAATGAAAAGCGACATCAACATAAAATTTTCAGTAAAAATCAAGCTTTATAAGGGGATAAAGCATATTGATTCTGAAAAAAATTGGGGGTTAAGGGAGTTGAAATATTTAAAAAATCCTAACTCAAAATCTTCAGGGAAATCAAGCTATATAAAGGGATGATTCCTATTGAATCTAAAGAAAAATCTGATTGAAAATGGGGGGTTAAGCGAGGTCTGTTATATTATATATCTTCATTCTAGTTTCTTATTGTATCTTGCTTATTTTTTAAAATATTTAAATATACTAAAGAACTATGTTTCATACAAATGTAAAATAAAAAAAATTGACAATTAAATCTTTTATAAATCAAAACAAACAAACAGTAACGGTGATCTAGAAGAGATGAACATTTATAAAGATAGTTTGACACCATAAGATTATAGTTTGTATTATTTAAATTAAAAAGATTCTACCTATAGCATAATTCAATATTTTTAAAAATAGAGGTACTAAACACAAAAACAAATACCCACTTCTGTATACCCTGTATAATTTTTACTATTTACAACATAGCAAATATCCTCGAAATATAAAATAAATTTCCATCTATAGAAAATCATTTTCCAGTCCGTGATTTTTACGCAACCAATCAATAAGACATTTAAAACTCACCAAGTAATTCAACATTTTCCCAACAGAATGCAGTCATCAAATTCAAACTACAACACTAAAATACTACTTTACCAAAAAAGCGTATCGACAAAACAACCTTCTCAACTCATTACTCAAGGATAACAACATCGCACGCTACCACGCTAGAAGGAACGCAAGGACTCGAAATTTCACGAAGGAATAAAACTGCGCGCGCCAAATCCAGGCAGTATTGATTAAAACAACTTATAACGCAATTTCAAGACTGCTTGTTTTAACATAAAATGACTAAATTAAATCCAACTTATCTTATCTTCCTAGTTTAATCCTACTTATATTAAATCAACTGATTTTAGTGCAAATCAAGCTAAAATGTCCTAAAAATATTACTTTAAAACTTACCTGATTATATTCTACCGCCAGAACTTAATACGTTTACCAAAAAAACAATTTTTTTTACTGTTTTTCGATTTTTTTCTTCCAATCACCGTTTTTCAATCTCGTATCAATCAGCTGGGATGTTTTATCGAAAAAATGTTTAAGTGCTTTTGTCGTCGTCGGACATGAGTAAACTGAACCGATGCGGCCTGTGACAAGGGGTGCTGAACTACCCTACTGAAACGGTGATCGATTGGTTCGCACAAGCGCAAAAACCTCGGCACACTTAAGTATACAGGGATAGGTGTGTTTGAAAAAGGGGAGTCCTTGCACCTTTGATTATGTTTCCCTGTTTCCCCTGGTGCGCGGTGCGGCGAAAGCTGGGAATCGCAAGGGGGACAAACGAGAAGCGGTTTTATGATAGTTGCGCGGCAAGTTGTGATTATTGAATACAGGGTTAGGTCGGAATTTTTCAAATATATTAGCGATTCAAATTTATTTTCCCTATCTGTTGTTTTACCAATATGGAAAAAATAAGACGAGGTGATAAGGAAGAAGTATAAATACAGGATAGTGAAGAATCAGTAAAGAAATTGAAGAAATTATAATTATAAATTAAAAAAAAAACAATGAAATGATAAACAGAAATAAAAAAATGAATGAAAACAATTAATGATAGGGAAACAAGAAAGATTAGAAGACAAAAGAAATTACGAAGAGAAGAAAAGGAATGAAGAACATAAACATGATACGAGAAGAGAGATAGAGAAGATAGAAAATAAACTGGAAGTAGCAGTGAAAGAAACAAAAGAGTTAAAAGTTACTTATAGAAAATAGGATATATAACAAACAAGAGAATTAAGAATGGAAATGATACAAAAGTAATATAGACAGAACTAAATGAAGAAATTGAATAAATAAAAATGAATGGGAAAGACACCAAATAAGGAATAAGTATTTTAGAATACATATAAATAGATACTAGTATGGGAATAGATAATACCACAGTGCAAAATAATAAAAAAGATGTAGAGGAAAGAATAACTGAAAGACAGAAAAAAGGTAAGAAAGTAATAGATAAGAGGATAAAAGATATACAGAAAGAGATTAATCATTTGTAGAATATTTCAAACAAACTTAAATATAGATGATGACAAAGAGGAGGAAAAAATAAAATAAATAAAAAAATGGAAAAAAGCCTCAGACATTTTTAGAAGCGATATAAACAGAATGAAGATATCAAGAAATAAATAATAGTAAAATAGAAGCAAAGGTTAATAACTTTATATAGGAAACAAGGGGGATTACAAATTTGAAGGAGGTATTAGACAAATCCATTCTTGGGTTTTTATACCAATTTTGAAAAATAAATTAAAAAATGATGACGTAGATACCTAATATACAGTGCTTCTCAAAAGTCCCATCCCCCCTCTTTTCTTTTGAACGGTGATACTTAGACTAATGAAATTTGGGGGGTGAAAATGAACTATTGTAAGCTTCTCTACTAGTGGTAACAGGTGACGTAATATGCATCGGTGACGTCACCAGACAACTTAAACCAATAATATTAAATGGGACCTTATATCAAGTGACACCTCATTTAAAAGGTATTAAGAATATCTATTCAATCATACTATTTTTTTGGATTTACAATGTTTTTGATGGTTAAAATAAGGTCCCATTTAACATTATTGGTTTCAGTTGCCTGGTGACGTCACTGATGCCTATTACGTCTCCTGTTACCACTAGTAGAGAAACTTACAATAGTTCATTTTCAGCCTCCAAATTTCATTAGTATCACCGTTTAAAAGAAAAAGAGGGGGAAGAGACTTTTGAGAAGCACTGTATAAAGGAAACAAAAAAAAAATAAATCAAAAGTAACTAATTCAATAACATGTACTTTGTTGTTAAAATTGATAATTGATTAGTCAACGGCTGATGGATAATGTTCTTAGAATTAAAAATTGTTAGAAAAATTATTGTTTTTGGAAAAAACATTAAGGTAACTTGAAAACGGACATCAAATTTTGAGTTAAATTTTGGGGATAGTCGAAGCATCTGGGAGGGGGGGATACTTTATGTGGTGTCGTTTTTTTACTTTAAAGAATATTTTTGTTCTTTACAATTAGAGAAGAAAATTCTTTAAATAAAAATTGTTTTTAATATCATTCTCTATAATTTTTGTTATTTATATGATTTCCCTAAAATGGTCCGTATTCGAGAAATTTATTAAAATGAGGATCAAGTAAAAGTTGCTTGCAATATAATCCTCTAGAATTTTTGTACTATACATGATTTCTTTAAAATGACTCGTATTCGATCTTACAAAAACTGGATAATTCGAATTTTTAAGAAAATTAAAGTTGCTTATGACATCATTCCCTATTATTTTTGTTTAATACATGATTTTCCTAAAATGGACCGTATTCGAGAAATTTGACAAAAAGTGTAAAATTAAAATTTTTTAGAAAATTGTTCAAGTAAAAATTGCTTTTGATGTCATTTGTCATAATTTTTGTGCTATACATAATTTCTTTAAAATGGACCGTATCCCAGAAATTTAAGGAAAAGTGCATAATTCGAATTTTAAAAATAACTCAAAAACAGATGAAGAGAAAAACACCAAATTTTAAATTTAAGCTTTAATCCATCCTGCTGTTAGCTTATTAAATTTTGGGCATAGTCCAGGCATCTGGGGGGTACTTTATAGAGTGTCTTTTTTTTACTCTAAAGAATATCTGTTATATTCAATTTCATAAGACTTCTTCAATTACATAGTGATGATATTCTTGAATTAAAAACCTGGCTTCAAAGAACAGGATACCGCTGGAGATCCTACGATATCATAAAAGAAATGACTCGATTTGATACAGTTACGAGACTCTGTACTTAAAAATAAATTATCTAGTTTGCTTATTGATGAAACCTGTGATATCAGTACTCAAGAACAAGTTTCATTTTGCTTGAGAACTGTGGATGATAACCTGTCAATCAATAAATATTTTTTTGGATTCTATACAATTACTTCCACTACTTCAGATAGTCTTAATAAGATACTTACAGATTGTTTGGTCCATTTCCAGTTTTCTTTTTTAAACTGTTGTGGTCTTTGTACAGATGATTCGTCCAACATTAGCGGTGTACTCAACGGGCTTCAAACTCGTGTAAGACAAAGTGAACCAAGAGCTGTTCATATTCACTTCTTCGCACATTCTCTAAATTTAGCAATTCAGGAATCTGAGTATTGTTCCTAATATCAGAAATGTTTTAATTTTATTTAAAGATATAAATAAATTTGTAAAAGACTCACCTAAAAGGGTAGCAGTATTTAAACGGTTTCAAGCAGAATCTGATACTAATATGGGATTAAGACCTTTTTGGCCAACAAGATGGTGCATGAGAGTAAGTTCCGTTGAAATTTTGGAAAAAATTATGACTCATTGCTTATATTTTTGGAAGAAATAAGTAACTCTGATAAGTCTGATGGTGCAAAAGCGAGTGGAGTTAAGAATGTACTGCGAAAATATGGAACAGTATTTCGTATGAAAGTTATTTTAAAGGTTTTAAATGTCGTATTGCAAAACTCTAAACTGCAATTTTCCGAAGATAGAGCTTCTGTTGCTTTAGTTAGTTCTTCTTTAAAAAAATTAAGAGATTTGCAAGAAATTTTGATATAGAGTCTCTGTTTAACACGTAAGCGTCGTTTACCTAAACGATATGACAGTGGACAATCTGGTCACATTTTTAATACAGCCGCTGATATGTACCGACCAATGTTTTGTGAAGCAATAGACACTGCTATTTCAGTTCTTTCAAATAGTTTTAAGCTATTGCATAGCTTTAATGTGGGCTTTGAGCGTGGCGACCGAATCAAGAAATTCCGTAACGAAAATAAACACCCCCACACGTATTTTTTTTTTCAAGTGAAATAATGACACATTTAAATCTTCTTGAAAAATTCGTCATTGGAGAAAATGACAATTTAGAATACAATTCCGAATTTTACAAATCTGATGTTGAATCTGAGCGACTGAAATTGCATAGAGATATGTCTTTAGATAACTTAAAAAGCAGAAATATCAAAGTTTCTTGCATATTTAATATAACAGAAATTTTTTAAACAAAAGTCGGCGCCTATGATCTCATAATCATCGGTCTATCAATTATTGATAGCGCCTTTTCTTAGTGTAAGACAAGGAAACAATGGATACAGCAGAGGGATCCTCAAATGGTAGTACAATATACCTTACAGAGACTGCAATGCTGTTACGCCTGAGTTCTAGGATTTCCAGAAATAGATCAGGGTGATATCTAACTGTAAAATATCACTAAACACGCGAAACATCTTTATTTTCAACAGATACAAAATTTTCAGGATCAAACCTGTTTACAATCAATACAAACTAGATAAAAAAAACAATAAATAAAAAATCTTCAAAATTCTTAAGCAATTACATAGGTGAAGCTATATCCCCCATAGCCATATGTATGGTCTGTATCACCAGTTCCAACTCTTTTAAATTCGCAACAGCCTGTTTGTAAAGTTTCCCCTCAACTAATTCGATTGGTTCGTGTTTCAAAAGATCTACTGCTTCCTGGAGAATCTTCTTAGCTTCCTACGAACAATATTTCCCTAAAGAATCGAATGATTTTTTGATTAAACGTTTCTTACCATTAAAGAAGCATATACTATGTCAGGTGACGCTTTTCTTCTACCAGCTTCTGCTACTGCAGCGTGAAGCTTGAACAGTAGCAGGCCTCTTATTCTTTTTTCACCTAAAATGATTAACATAATGTATTATATCTCTGACAATATTCAAAAGTAAATACCTGGAACTAAGTTCCTTACTAGAGCTATCAAATTCTGGCATAGCTTCAAATTCAATTCCAAATCTTCATCATCGATTTCTTTCAATTCATTCACATCGTTAACATTTCCGATCAATTGTAACAGTGCTAACTTTACATCAATCAAATAAAAATGGTTCGGATGCAGCAGTTCTTCGTAAGTGTTTATAAAACTTTTGCATTCTCTAATATCGCCTTTAGGCATTTCGGACAAGTCTTTTCCTATCCTATCTAGGAGGTCTTGAACCGAATAAGACGAAAGGATGCTAGGACATTTGTCGCAGTACCAGTCGAATCCTTTGTCATTGGTGGTGTTGTCTATGAAGGTTTTCGGAAGGAGATAACCCTTACAATTACTGAAAATAACCAGATTGTAATATATAGAAAATGGTTTCGGTTTTCTCACCTATCTTGGCATCTCAGGGCGCTAAAAAATGTTCCTGACTCCGTTGGATCCAAGCATCTAGAACAATGGCACCAAAAGAATTTAGATTCTTTAAGATGGTGTCTTCTATTCGCCGTACCCCACAGTGGATCAGTGTAACAGATACTCAGGTTGTCCCCCTTTTTAATTCGAGTGCCAGCTGTTATTATGATGCCTCCATGACTGGAAAAGGTTTTGGAACAGTTTGCTCTGCAATTATGTTCGAACATCGATGTTTTATCGTAAATAGCTATGTGATGCGGTTCAGTAAGGGGTACTTCATGCGAGTTTACCTAAAAATCAGGGTATTAAAAGTGGATGACGATGTAATCAATCAAATTTACCGTAACGATTCCGCATACTCTCATAATTTCCTCTTCGCTGAAAACTCCATCTAGTTTGAAAAATTTCAAAATAAACTGAGCAATCTGCAATCTCTCTTGTTCGTATTTCTGAGTTCCTTTTCTTTCTTCGTGATGCGATTGTAGCTGTTTGATTTTCTTCCAAATTTCGGGCAGGAATTGCTTTTGATAAAGGATTCGAAGGACTGTGATGCAACTGTAACTAGGATGAGTTATTCCAAAATTTCTAATTGAGATCTGAAATTGGAAGTGTATACAAATATTGCGATATTTCAAAATTTCGAAAAACGATATGTGCGTAGCATGGGCGTCGTCACGTGATGACAAGGGGGCGTTTTTTTTTTCGTTTTGCTTTCGACTATAGCCTGCGACCTTTTGTCCCTGTCTATAAGACTTGCCTCCCTTGGAAATTTTTTGAACGGCGCCTATGGTGACTAGGAAAATCAGCTATCTGTCTGATTTAGACTATTGTAAAGCAACTAAAAGAGCAATTCTATTTTTGTCGATTTTTTACTAATAAGATTTCATCAAATCACATTTAATAATATTTACGTTGTCGTCAAGTTCAGAAAAACTAAAAATACTTGTGGCATTTCATCACAACGGATTTTTTTTTAAACATGTGTTCTGTATTTAATTTTTCTTCAATGTTGAATCTGCAAATAGCATTGATTGATAGACATTTATACTGTGCGAGACTTTTATTTATGTTCGATACGAATAAGTAAAAATTCCTTTTGCAAATTTTATTTTTACTCAAAAATAAAGCTAAATAATGATGATAATAATATCACTGATAATTTTATAATAGGGTGTTTATTATTATAACACCAATCCCTGAAAGTATTTCGTACTGTTAATGGGTTCCAGGTTGCGTCGTATTTTGGTAGAGAAAGTCTTAAACTAACGCCTTTAAACAAACTTTTTGACCATAAAGTCCTCAGCAATGTCCAGTGTCAAAATAAGTGCTGATGTAGTGATTATATGACCCGTAGATTAGATTAGGAGTTGGACGTTATTTGTCCTTGTCCACCTCGACTTTTTCAGATCTATTGTGAGACTTTGTTTGTTTTAGAGTATGTCGTCTATAGTCTATTTTTATGTATGAGAGAGTAATAAAACAGCATTTCTAATGCAAAACGGTCATTTTAAATATTTTTACAGAATAATCTAAATATTTCCTAAAATTATAATAAATGTACCTGAGCTATTACAAGTTTTGGGTCTTTTATTGGTCCTTTATAAACATAAGCTGTACAGAACAATAGAAAAAGGTTTGGACAGGCCAAAATACCTGTGTATTAAAGATTACATAGCCGTATCTTAAGATTATTTTCAATAAGTACCTATTTGCCAATTTTGTTTTATTTTAATTCCAAGAATTTCTTACAGTAATCGAATTATAAGTAGATAAATACCTTCCCAACAAATTTCACTGAAAATACGATTATAGGTTTTCCATTTAGTAAGGAGGTCCAAATTGTGTATTCTTGACAGTTTAGTAAATGTCATTTAGTTGCAACTTGCAAGGTGCGGGGTGAATTCTAATGTGATCATGGAAAATTTGGAAGGGCCGTGTAAACGACAAAAAATCGGTCCTTTAACAGTTAATGAAAAAACATTAATATTTAATTGTTTTAAATCATTTACAGACAAATATTTATGTAAAAGTGTTGATGACACAGTGGAATTAGTTAGTAGTACACTTGGTGTTGGGAAATCTACGATTTACAGAGTTGTTAAAGAAGAGAAATGTGGCGAGTTTCAAACAACACGTAAAGCTCCAGGAAAACCAAAATTTCAATTAGAAAATCTTTTGAAAAAAAGACTTCGAAGGGAAGTGCATGCGTTCTTTTTTAGAAAAGAATTTCCGACAGTAGACAAAGTTCTTGCCACGGTTCGAGATGATAAGGATTACCCTGAAATGAGTCGAAGCACACTATGGAAACTTTTAAAAGAAAGAGGTTTTCTATGGAAAAAGCATTCCGGAAAGTCTATTTTAATAGAAAGAAGCGATATTGTAGTATAGAGAAGAAATTACCTAAGGACTTATAAAAGAAATGAGAAACCAAAGAAGAAATATATTTTATTTAGATGAAACATGGATCAACGAGGGACATAAACCAAATAAATTTTGGCAAGATGAAACTGTTACAAGTCGAAGACAGGCTTTTTTAAATAATTGATCTACTGGTTTAAATCCACCATCAGGAAAGGGGCGCAGACTAATAATAGTACACATCGGTAGTTCAAACGGTTTTGTTAAAGGTGGTTTATTGATTTTTGAATCTACTCGTACCGGTGACTACCATGAGGACATGAATGCTGATGTCTGTAAAGAGTGGTTCGAACAAATTATAGATCTTCTTCCTCAGAACTGTATAATAATAGTAATGGATAATGCAAGTTATCACTCACAACCAAGTGGTTAAAAAAAGATTTACAGAATTGGCTAAATTTAAAGAATATTAAGTTCCATCCCGGTTCTGTGAGAAAATAACTGTATAATTTGTGTTCCCTTCATAAAGAGAAATTCAAAAAATATGAAATTGATGAAATTGCAAAAAATCGTGGGATGACGGTGGTTAGATCACCACCATATCATTGCGAAGTAAACCCGATTGAACTGATATGGGCACAGATAAAGGGAGAAGTTTCAAGAAAAAATAATTCTTTTAAAATGAGTGATGTTAAACAGTTGTTTTTGGAGGCTGTAAATAATGTGAAGCCTGAAAACTGGGAAAAGGTAGTAAATCATACGATTAAAGAAGAAGAGAAAATGTGGAAGTTGGACAATATTACTGATGAAATGATCGAGCCACTCATTGTAAATATTGGTTGCGACAGTTCATCTTCTGATTTCGATTCTGATTTGGATTTGTAGGTAAGAAGTAGTTTTTATATTAAAATTATTATTTATGAACGTAACGTTGTTTAAAAGTCAAAGTTTAAACCCTTATACCTACATAACCCGTTTGACACAAGGTTCTTAACATACCTTGTGGAAAAATAAAACATTTTAGAAAAAATTGCACTTTTTTACCTTCAGCTGTTTAGGAGTTATAAGCAGGTTAATTAGGTGAAAATATAAGTGTATACTCGAGGAATAATTCAAAAAATATTTTAACTGTCTACTAAAAGAAGTGGTACGCCTATGGATTACGAACGCTTTATTATTTTAATACTCTCTCATACATAAAAATAGACTATAGCCTGGTCTTTTTTAATAGACTAAGTAGCTTTGACAGTGGCTCCCGCCAATGAGTATCGCATATGACTTAGTAGAGTTCCACAATTTTCATTTTCCCTTCAACATTTTTTTCTCAAAGAAATAATTAAGGTGAATGCCTTATCAAGTAAGCACAGACTAGGCCCTAACTTGGTCTGTAAAAACTTTAACTTGCCTTTTTTAAGAGCTGTACCGGTATCTACTGCTTTAGTACCTGGGTTGACTTTTGGTGGCGCCATCATTTGGCAATTTAAGGATATATAAATCAAGCTGTGATTGGCAACTTCATCTAGTCCTGAACCCAAGATGTATAGTCATAAGGCAACTACATCTATTTGAATAACTCCACCAGTACTCCACCATATTGAGTCCATTGTCGAAAATTGCAAGTTCATTTTTATTTAGTAATAGTTCTACAGTTTCAATGTAAAATTTTTCTAGGTGTTATTCTAGTTAATAAAACTTTTGACATAGTCTTACCTTGTCTCCTCTCAACACGGTATACCGGCATTCCGGTATATGACATGGAGCCTTCTCGCATAATGAGCTACACATTGGCCAACCGCATTTGGAACAGGGTTTACTGTTATTTTCGTTTATTGCTCGACAACATCCAAGACAAACCGGTACGGTAGTTTGCGCTGGACCCCATATTAACGGATTTTCCTGAAGGATTATATCGCCAGGATTGATGCCTTTCGTGGCTTTGATATGTCTGCCTAAGATATCATTGGAATGGACCTGGAAAAGAAATATATAATAAAATACTAGTGCGATAATGGAATCAGGGTAACGAAATCTAAAACTGAGCGCTTAATGTAGGGATTCAGCGTTGCCAGTGTCAGTGCTAAAGTACTGAAATCAGTGCTTTTAGGCTATTATCAGTACCTCAGTGCTACTTGTTATGCTTTAGTACTTTTTTCTGCTCAAGGCAAGTAGTTTGCGGTAGATTTAAGAAAATATTTTATTGTTTTGTTTTCACTCTCATTAAAAAACTTACTCTACGTGCTTTGTTCCTTTGTTATGATCTATGGTTTGACATTCAACCGAGAATGACACTAATGACTAATGACATGACTAGTAATGACATGAATGACAGATGACAGTAGCAGACGCAAGTGCAAGATTCAAGATTTGTTGCTGTAGATTCGATATTCGATTGTTCCTGTTTAGCATTTTCCGATTTATCAGGTAATTAAATAGTAAGCAGAACATCATTAGTATTTAGCATTTGTGTTTTAACTTTGTATTTCCCAGATAGCACACGACGTCTAAAAGACGTCTTTTTTGTGTCTTGGTTTGGTCTCAATGTCCTAGGACGTTATTAAGACGTCAAAAGCCATAATTTAGACGTATTAATGTGAGAGCTCAAAGACGTTTTTAAGACGTCTTAAAGACGTCTTTCCAAATCCATATATAAATGTGAAAGCTCAAAGACGTCTGTAAGACGTCTTACAAACGTCTTTCAGTCGGACGGAAACTTGCACGGTTTACATAATTCAAATTTAAAAGAAGAATCAAATGAAGTGAAGTTTGACGTTTGACTTAACACTACATTCAAGCCCAAGTTTATTGTGAATTATTGATTATTCTATTGCGTACGCGATTATAGCCGCCAAAAGTGTGTTTGGGCTACTTTGTGCATTTGTGTTTGGTCTCTTTTTACTTAAATAATATGGGACTAAAACCAGAGAAGGAAGAATAGTGGAGTTTCTGTTACCGATGTATCACGTTCCTGGAATACTTTCTACAGGTAATACATAAATTAATATTTGTTTATATACATAAACATTAATATCCTGTTTCTTCTAAATAAGAATAATTAAATGAATTAAAAAGTAAACATCTTAATATAAGATTTAATTCAGTTATTCGTCAATTTCCTTTTTTTTAATTTTATGGAGATTTCGAGAACTATTGATATCAAAAGCCACATGTTAGATAGCCAATTTGAGTGAAGTTAAAGTAAAATTGTCAAAATAGGCGATTAAGTATAATAGCTCATCTTGTCTTAAATGATTTGTTATAAAAATTGATTTCAAATTGTAAGAAATTAATTTTTTGTTTTGTTTCATAATAAAATTGTTCTTTCGGTTTTTACTAACTTTTACAAAGTATAACTTCCTGTGACTATAATGCTCTTACCTAAATTTTTTTTAGGAGCGACTATACAAAGGCAACTTCAAATCAAAAAGAAAGAAAAAAATCAATCCAGTTATGGCTAAAGAGGAGTGATCGAATGCGCTACAAAGAAAATAATTCTTAGTGACCTGTGATTAATAGATATTTTAGCAATAAATATTTTTAATTCTATTTTTTGCATTCTTTATAACCTGCAAGGTTATTCTACTAATTTTAATAACCAAGATGCACGATGATACCCATTTTTAAATTATTTTATATTATTATAAACAGATTATAGAATTAGCAGAATAAAAATAATGAACGTGTTGTTTATCGCTTATTTAAGTTTAACCAGACCTTTATAAGCCATTATTAAGTCGTCTTAAAGACGTCTTATTTATGGCTTATTTAAAGTTTCACAAGACTATTATAAGCCATTTGTGAGACGTCTTAAAGACGTCTTATTTATGGCTTATTTAAAGCTTCACAAGACCATTATAAGCCATGAATAAGACGTCTTATTTATGGCTTATTTAAGGCTTCATAAGACCATTATAAGCTATTTATAAGCCGTCTTAAAGACGTCTTATTTAAGGCTTCACAAGACCATTACAAGCTATTAATAAGTCGTCTTAAAGACGTCTTATTTATTTTAAGCTCTACAGACCAATATAAGCCATTAATAAGACGTCTTAAAGACGTCGCTTTTTGTAACATCAGACGTCTTCTAAGACGTCTTTCAGGAAATACCAGACGTCTTAAAGACGTCTCGAATGTCTTATGCTAGACGTCTTAAAGACGTCTTTAAGACGACTTTGTGCTATCTGGGTTGTAGTTTGTAGAAATTTAATACTTATTTCACATTATTTGTGGTTGACTGGTGCACCTTTATATCGTATAGTATAGTTCATAGTTTGCTTTTTGGTTGATTGTTGGTGAAATAGTTCCCATGGCTAAACAATCTTATATTATTAGGTATGTGTATACTTATAAGTTTATAAATAGTATGATAATGTATTATTTTTAGTTTTTTTAAATCCATACACCAAGAAATTTACGATTTTGGTGGTAAATTTAAATTTTGCATTAAAATCATTTGAATTTACCGCCATATCGAGTTGGTTCCAGGCCAGAAACATTGGCGCTACCAACTTGTTTTTTAAATGTAATTATGTGCTTGTCATTTCCTGTCTGTCAACTGTCAGTTTAAATGTCATGTTCTTGTCTGTCAACTGTCAGTATTTTTTATATCAATACCGTTTTCAGTATTACTGCAGTACTTTTATTTTCCTATTGCTGGTAACGCTGTAGGGATGCCACCTGTACGGGTTTTACCCGAACTGTCTGGGTTTTGAACAATATGTCCGTAGTCCGGTCGCATGATAATTGAAAATGTCTGGAAATATCTGGACAACTTTATAGAAGTTCGACATAAGAACTTGGTTTATAATTTTTTTTTTTAAAAGCTCAAAAGAAGGACCCTGGTTTATAAATTTATAAGTTCAGGACTTTTTTTATAAATTTCACAAAGGTCCGGGTTTTGTGAAATGAAAAGATGGCAACCTTAGCTTAACGACCTTTTTTAAGTCGTCTTCATCGAGTGCTCTAACACTTCAAAATGGTTTGTAGTAAAGCGTTTTATGTATGTTAGTGATAATTAAATTATTTAAGTTCTCCATGGAACCGTGACTTATAAAGTGAAAGTTGATATTAGCAATATAAAAAAATGCGATATTTTTAATTTTGAGTTTAATTTTTCCTTGCACAAACAAGTGTACAAGTGTAAATAAGTAAAAAAGAATAGTTTAGACAAACACGTGCTAATTTTAAAACTAGGGGAGTAAGTAAAAAAATAGTTTGGACAAAATTTATTTAATATTTCTTAAACAACATGGTGCATTTAAAAATATATGCTTTCTTTAAAAAAAAAAAAGATCGACCTTCAAGGTCATATTTTTTTGGTTCTTGGTTTTTTTATTTTTCAGTTGTTTTTTGTTAGTTTTTTTTTTGTTAACAAGGAAGCGAAAATCAAAGATCGCGATCTTTCAAATCGAATTCAAATTGCTTTTACTTGTAACTCATGTTACTAAATGTAGAGAGTGAGTAGTAAGAGCCTGTGAACTAAAAACTGGGACATCTCGTCAGCCCCGGATCTTGAATTTTTTTGAGAGAATATTGGGAACGGCATCGTGCAAATAATGCGGATAAATGCATTTTTTATATATCCAAATAAAAGTGGACCTTGCTGGTTTTCGTTTTCGCAACTTTTCAAATATTATTCTGAGCGTGAATCTCTTCGGGGACATCAGTAGGTTATGCCGCAGAAAAAATATCTTCGGTGAATACGTTACCATCAGCTGAATATATACCTGTCTTTCTAAAACCTTATATTACGTTTGTAGGAGTGCTGACTCGTAAATAAGCTTTACCCAATATTAAGAAAGTTGAAAGATGAGCCATGACTGGCTACAGTGCGGAGGTAAACACAGATTAGTAACAGAATAGTTTGTGGCTATTTCTCTAACGTTCAAGATTTGTGTGTGGGTTTTTATCCATCTAAAATCAATGTTCAGCAGAAGAAAGTGGTCCTACTTGCTTACATCCGTTTAATGCAATCACTTTTGAGGGACGTCCCTGTACAGTTCTGTTCCCTGTCTAATCAACATTGTAGATTTTTGATGGAGAATGAATAATTATTTTTTGGTTGAAGTGGTTCAAGCAGGTCAAAAAATTTAGAAACATTTATTTAGCTTCTGGAATTCGAAGGGATAATCTATTTCTTAAGGAATTTTTGCAACCGTTGTCAAGCAGCTTTCTTCTGAACGGAACTGAAGTTTTTTTTACATAGCGAATGACCTGGCTCATTTTTGTTCTGTATGCGACACATCTGGAGTGCAATCGAACATTATTGTATAGTATTTGGCTTCTTTGATGTCGTTTAGAATGCTATTTCTGCCATTATGTCAATAATTTCATTCTGTATTGTTTTTGACAAATATGATATTTGTCCCTTTTTAAGTTTTCTAATTGAAACTTAAGAGTTGAATTATGATTGGAGAGAAGCAAAATTAAATTCAAGAAATTTCCTTGACCAGGCTGATGAGATGAGATCGCTAGGAGTTTCGTGGGAACCACGAAAAGAAAGACTGTTTGTTGTTAGATATAATACATCATCCATAACCATATGCAGGATCTGTCTCCATTTTTCTTTTTCGGTTTGAATTACTCGCTCAATGTCTTGATCAATACTTTGGCATGATTTAATTTGTTGAACTCGAGATTTCCTATTAATCATACATTCTTTGTGCATTTGAGATGCTTCGTGCTCGGTTAATCTCTCATAAGCTTTTTTTCAATTAATAAATCCTGTAGTACACAATGCAGATGTACCGGAAGAGGAAGATTTCTGATTTCTTTTTTCTTACCTTTTTTTATTTCTCACTATTTATATGAGATATGATGATAAAAACAGTAACAGTGAACACAGATAACATCCACAAAAATATATAGGTAATAAAAATACTTTCAGTAAACACAAAGTACCTACCAATAACTTCAAGAACAAACTTTTTCACAAATGAAAAGCACAATAAATTTAGATTGTAGCTTTATTCCTT